TTTTTTGTGCATATTGGAAATCGAGTTTAGCTTCGTGTTAATCTACCACAACAATATCATGTATTTTTCGATATTTTGAGATCGTTTACTCGCCAAGATTCAAAGTCGACTTTTTCATTTGAGTGGGCGAAAGGTGCATAAAGATTGTTACTTTTCAGGTCAAGTGTTTGGGATTTGGAATTATAAGCAGTTTAGTAATAAATTTATGGGTAATAGAACCAGCTATTTATTTTCAAAGCGACAAACCATTGTTATGTTAGGGTAGAGGGTCACATACCTCGTTGATTGAATTGCTGTTATAATGCAGATATTAAGAAGAATACTGCGTTCCAGTGCTAGCATTTATAAAACATAACATGTTAAGTCAAGGCGAGGTCAAAAGGAGACGTCCGCATAATAGGTGGGCGTACTTTCCAGTCAGTCTACGGAATCAACAAATATATGAACTATAATTTGCAAGACGGTAAGCAGGATCAGTGTGGGTTTGGTGCCGTGACAAGGATATTGCATTCATGTTCATTGGCGCTCTCGAACCCCCCCTGGAGGACTAAACCCAGTGCAAATGTTCCATGATAGCTCAAGAAGAAGGTGATTAATGCGTGTCATCTATTCATTATGGAATTGTAGCGAGAGACATGGCGATAAACATCAACCTCACTGTCAATCTGTTTACAGTGGAACATAAAAGTTTGTAATATACGTAATGTTTAGAAACATATTAAGACATAATAAGGTTATCGAATCAGAATAAGATTAAAGACATAGAATTGTAAAGACGCATTCCCACGAAATTTTACTGGGTAGTTATTTCCAATAGAAGATGGGAATATTTGATATATATGGAACGTAGAAAAATACTGGATTCCATGACAATACATGGAAGGAAATGTAAGGATGCCACTAACTGGCAGCCTGTCTGCTCGAGCTACGCACGGAAAGCTTCGTATGTGTTGATCTAAGTACTAGGGGTTGTGGGGACATTGAGATAATTTAAAGTCCAGTAGGCTCTGTGATTAAAGAAGACAGAAGTTGACAGAGGATAATCCAAGAAATTACCTAGGTTTAGAAATTTATGGTAAATGGACCCCAATCAAAGACACGTGGAAGCAATCCCCACTAAATTATCAAGACGAATTACTGCGTATAAATAAATATTACAGTGTCCTTTTTTTCATTTTGTGCTCAATGATTTTTCTCAACTCAAATCTATTGGCAAATATCTTCAAGAAATTTTGCACACATGACTATCACGCCATTTTCAAACATCATCTTTTATGAAAACACATTCTGAAATACATAAAACAGTAGAAAATTAGACATAAATAAATAAAATGGTTTTCAGGTATCCAAATATATTCGTAACTAGGCAGTGACAGTATGGGCAATTCTGTTTTCTTTTTTAGTAGGCTAGCTTTACTCACTAATGTTTACTTAGTCAGGTGGAATGTTTTTTTAATCACGATTTGATCAAAGTCTAACTAGCATGATCTGCCTAATAATAAGTTATGAGTCACAAGAAATCGCTTGGAAATATAATGTGGGAGTCGAAAATAAAAATAGCACCTGAAATATAGGCCTAATCATTATGCCAAAATTGACAACACGTCAGAACAGTATACATAGCAAGCGCTAGAATCTTAGGCTAGACATCACTGTCATATTTGCATAGGGTATTTATGAGGATGTAAGTACGAACTGCAATTGTGTGAACAAGAACTCGCTACAAAATTGTGATAACAGTCTGCAAATAAAATAATAAAGGCTGAAACTTACATGAAACTCCCCAAGCGAAATCATCTGTGTCGCCAAGAGTAATTCCTCTTTTAGTCTCGGATAGCAGGCCGGAATTATTTCAATCACAGCTGACACTGTCGTCTCAAAATACTTAATTGAGACTAATTTTCTGTTCTTTTAAAAAATCATCAAGCGTTACAAATATATATTGATATTCGAATAACATTTTTTTTCATAATTCATTTACCAGCAACTGGAAACTCAAGAATATAAATTAGCAGGAAAGCATGGACGGTCTAAATCTATTGAGAATATTTTGAAAAATGACTTTTTAAAACTCCTAAATATTTGAAGAAAACCCCTAAATATTTGAGATACAATATCGATAAACACATCCCTGTTTCGTATTTAGAGGGGGTTTATCGTCCATTTAACCATGCTTATATTATCCATATAGACCCCCTCTAAAAACGAAACAGGAAGTGTTTATCTCCTAAGTGTTTAACGTCGCCTAAACTAGGACGCAAATGATCGAACCCCAATAGGCCTATTGTTGGCTAGGTAGAAAATGCTTATTTCTCTAAATTACAAACATCTGGACACAGATCACTAAAGATTTCCCCATTGACTCCAATGTTAATTCTCGTATCTTAGACCGGCTCTAACTTTTTCCCAAATTTTCGTTGGGTAGAACGCTTTCTACCACAGATGGAGCAACATGTGGCAACCACTTGCCCAAAAGCACGTATGAGGTTCTTCATGAAAAACTTGAGATACACAAGCTGGAAGTAGAGACAAGTAAACATGCAATTTCAGGCCCTACATTTCAACGTAACCAACCTCTCAACTCTTGTATCCTTCCGCATCAAAATTATGAATATTCACCAAAACCTGGCAGAAAATGTATTTTCAAACCCTTTTCCTCAATTCTACACCAAAAAGTCAACAAAAATCGCCATGCAAAAGGGGGAAAAAGGGAGAGGAAGACTAAAAATAGCTTTGACCCTTGTTTCGTGGGTGACGGCGTAGGAATATTTGGTGATGGGTGACGGCGTAGGAATATTTGGTGATCTGTGTCCATCTGTCGTTCAGTGAAAGTGAAAATGAAAGTAGACGTTCTTCCCAGAAAGCCATTGTTATCGATTTGAAGCTACCGCGCACCTTGTTGTTTCATTAAGGATACTAGGTATTTGTAAGTTGCATACACATATTCAACAACTAATTGTGGACATACGTCTGGACTTTAATGTTCTCTGGAAATTGAGTCTAGAATAGTTTTAGTCCATTACAGCTATGTCATGGATTTTTCGCTCGCCAAGATTCAAAGTGAACATTTTCATTGAGTTGGGGGAAAGTGCATATATGCTACTTTTCGTTGGGTTGTGGAGTTTTTTTTAAAATATGTGTAGTGTTATGTTAATTAGGGACATGATGATAATGAGTACACGAGTAGCAATACTCTGTGCCACTTCTGTCCCAGAAATCAAAAGTGGATTTCTTTTTATACGCCCACATTTTCATGTGGACGTATTATGCCGTCGCCCCTGTCCGTCCGTCCACAATTGTTTGTGGACTCTCTACAGGTCACAATTCTTATCCGATTTCGACGAAACTTGAAATATAGGTTTATCCCCAAAAGATCTCGGCTGCTTTCGATATTGGCATGTATCGGATCGAAACTTCGTGGATTATGGCCCCTGTTTGTACGAAAAATCACGTTTTTAGCTTGTGGACCCTATAGAGGTCACAATTTTTATCCGATTTTGTTGAAACTTGAAATGTAAGTTTATAACCCAAAGATCAAAATGGCCGCCGTTCGTTCCCAAATAGCGTAAGAATATGGTATATCAAGGTTGTGGACCCTATAGGGGTCACAATTTTTATCCGATTTTGTTGAAACTTGAAATGTAAGTTTATAACCCACAGATCTCGGTTCCTTTCGATATTCGTGCATATCGGACCGTAACTTCCTGAATTATGGCCCCTGATTGTACGAAAAATCACGTTTTTAGCTTGTGGACCCTATAGAAGTCATAATTTTTATCCGAGTTGAGTTTGAATTTTGTGAAAATCGCCCCAAAATTGACAGACAAAATGGCCGCCGTTCGTTCTCAAATAGCGTAAAAATATGGTATATCAAGGTTGTGGAACCTATAGAGGTCACAATTTTTATCCGATTTTGTTGAAACTTGAAATGTAAGTTTATAACACAAAGATCTCAGTTCCTTTCGATATATGCGCATATCGAATTGTAATTTCCTGAATTATGGCCCTTGATTGTAGGAAAAATCACTTTCTTGTTAGCTTGTTCTCTATCCATCTCTCGAAAATGTGGGCGTATCCTGCCTGGCAGCCGCTGGTTAAAGGATTAATACCACTTTGATTTTTGAAGTGGATGATGTCCAATGAGATTTATTTTCGTATCATATCATTGTATTTTCTAATTGGTAAATTAGTTCCAATTCAACTTCCCAAATTCATTTTTTTTTTACCCTAAGGGGGGCGTGCTGGTCAAATGCAAGTCGGAAGTAAGGGTATTTTCCCGCCGGAATCGAGGTGTATTTTTGCGTAGCAAATGATCATCACCAGGCCTCTAATACTAATATAACCGTCTAAGATCGGCAGTGAACGTTTTCATTTTGCGTTGACTAAATTTGCATTAAGACGCTTTACGGGTGGATTATGAGAGGACCTTGCAGGCAGTACCACCCCTCCATAAGCTCAAGATATCAACTTTTTAAAGACAATGAAAAGGTCAACCGTACGTTGATTTCCTAAGCGGACAGGGGGGCGACCTGACTTACAGTTTTATCCAATCTATTTTTTTCCACTGACTCAAAAGTTGAACATTGTTGACGTCAACAAATCTAACTTTGGACTTTTCATACGTAAATGAAATAAAATCTATATCGTTTGAATAAAAAGAACTAAAATTATAGTTGAGCATAAATTTCTACATTGTATTTTTAGTTCCATTACACGTTTATGTGTCTTAAGTTTTCAAATTTTTACGTTTGAATAAATAAATACTAACACAAAAGCGTGTAGATTTCTTTAGGTATACAAAATTTGGTTATAAAATATCTACTTAATCGGTTAATATCGCAACATTTTATGAAACGTGTATTAGAAACAGTGAATAAATTATACATTTTATGACAAAAAAAAAAATTATTGGTAGTTCTTTCATAGAACTCAATATACAGTAGAGTTATTCGTGATTCTCATTTTATTATACATTTATAATTTCTTTTATTTTTTTCCAGACACATAATTGAGATAATGCACTGCATAATCATCGCCAACATCTAACTTTGCTGTAAGAATTTTACAGTGGAGTTGGACATAGTTTTTGTTGGCACCCTTTTTTTAAAACAGAAATGAATCAACAGATTTTAATTGAAAAGATACACTGTCTTGACGATGAATATATTGCACGCCCAAGAATTATCACATGTTATCCGTTCAACAAACTACCATCTCTACAAAGATCGCATCGGAACCGGCTCCTCGTGTGATGTCTTTAAAGGCTATAACAAGGTAAGTTGTGTTAGAGTTACCTCCCATGTGAGGTGTCTAGATGACAATGCCTAGATGTGTGTTCTCTCAACCTAAATCAATAAGGAAAACCTCCAAACTGGGGTAAAACAATAAGATAAAATTGAGATTCGTAAAATGCCAGACCTATTTCAATTTGAACGTATATATAATGCCAGTTTTGAAATATAGGCCTAACATATTTTGCCTAAAATTGAAGCCGACTTCCGCTTAATCTTAGAACACCAAATTTTTAATTGTATGGAGCATACCTTATCACTACTAATCGACGAAAACATCCTAGGTCTCTCTATATTGGATCAGTCTTTTCCATGGCACAGAAATGTCCAAATGAGTATTGTAACAAGTTAAACTAGATTTTGAAATTGATTTGTCGAAAGGTAGCATCAATGACATGCGTTGTACATGCTAACTAGAACACTTTTAGCATATTATGCGAAAGATATATGATTCGTTCAGCCGTGCTTTTCGCGATACTACCAAACCTGTAATTGAATTGGCGCTTTATATTCCTAACAAGTAACCTTAACGATAAGCATTAATTAATAAGCATTGCTTAAAGAATGGTCGAAACGTCTATATTTGTTTTTTCTGGAATACTGGTCCATTAAAAAAACAATTTAGTACAAGACAAAAATAGGATAAGATAAAAAAAAAAGACAAGATAATACAAGATAATGTAAGATAAAAAGACAAGATGAAAGATAAGATAAGATAACTATCAAAATTACAGGGCTACCGATAAGATAACATAACATAAGATAAGATAAGATCCAAAATTACAGGGCGACAGATAAGATAAGATAAGATAAGATAAAAAGATAAAATAAGACAAGATAAGTTCCAAAATTGCAGGGCGACATTGGAATGGACGGGGCTTCCACATAGTAAAGTGAAAATTAGGTGTCTCGAAAGGAGTCCACATGTCGTACACATGTCAAACGTGTATGCCATATATTGGGATTGTGTTTATACTGGTAGTAGTCAATACATACCATCGCACCCACTTGAATCAATTATAACATGGTCCCTCCAACCTAACACAGTCTGTTATTTACATTACAATCTTGAATCTGCGCACACAAAACATAATAATATGTGATTTCTTTTTTCACTCTGTTATAGGAAAATTCCAAAGTTGTAGCATTAAAGATTTTTAAAGATAACACATGGAGCCGGGAAATGTTAAAAGAAGTCACAGTGTTAAAACATCTACGGAGTCACCCAAATATAGTGCAATTCTATGGACAAGATAAAGATGTAAGTTTGTAATTGTAATATAATAGTTACCTTGGATTGTATATAAAGTATTTTGGTGAGATTTGAAAACCGTTTTACTCCTCCTGGCTGTGCAGCATACAGGGCCGTAACTAGCTCAGAGCAACGAGGGGGCGGGAATGATTCTCGGGGGTGCTGTAATATTGACGGACAATGTATATATCTATTCTTTTATGGTCGATGATTTCACAGGGGGTGGGGGCGAATCATATAAGATATACAGTCGCATATAACCGTTACTTTAAATAAAGCACCTCCCATAGACGCTATACGGAAATGAAATGAAATGGGGTTTAACGTCCTACTGTTCTACTCCGACTGAGCTAATAAAGACGGGCATACGCCATACAGTATGCCATGAGGAAAAATTTGCCCGAACAGCGGCACAACGGCCAAGGGATTTTTTACGTGCATGCCAATGTGTACACGGGACCTCGGCTTTTCGTCCCATCCGATGTCCTGCAACGCTGATAAAAGGGAACCACGTCCGAAAATTCTAATGAACTTTCTCTGCCAACATAGGAATCGAACACGCGACCTCCAGATTAGCGAGCCAACGTCTTACCCGCTATAAGGCAAATTTTAACAATAGTAAGTAAATTATATATGAAAATGGAAATGAGCATCCTTTATCATAATGGACATCTATATAAAGATATAGAATACAGTTCGGGGACACCTCACTTTCCCCACATTTATTGTTTAGAGTCTGGGTCCACCAGGCCATGACTAATAAATCAACAAAGGGGGTTTAAAGTATAGTCTGTAACAAGTTTGTGGCACTTCAACAAAATGATTTGAATAATATTAGTGGAAAAGATTACATGTAAAAAAAATACATATAATATTAATTATGGATTCTTATATTATACCATTTCCAGAATTTTAATAATATACAAAGTAATACATATATAATATAATAAATATATAATAAGTAAAAATATATAATAAATATATATATATATATATATATATATATATATATATATATATATATATTATATTATAATAAGTAATACGTGTACATAGTAAGTGCATATATTAAAATGAGTAACTAACTAAATAAATAAATACTTTTTTATAGTATAAATATTTATAAACAGTTTGATAAACATGATGGTTCACAGTCCAACAAAATTCATAACAGTGTTGAGGTATTCAATGGGTGTCTTGCGTGTAAATTTATTAGTAAACTGATTTCACCAATTTGCCCAATCTACTGATAGTGGGAAGTGTTAACAATAATTAGACTAGAGTGAGAAGTTTACACCAGTGATGCTAATTAATTAGAACAGACTATAGTTCTACACCCTCAGTCTAGTAACCTCCTAATCCTTTATCAAAACAATCAAATGTGGGGAAAGTGAGGTTAAACCTACAGTTCATTCGAACTAACTTAATTAGGGAAATAGACCCCCCGGAACATGCGTTAATTACTGACGTTCCAATAGCAAATATGGGAATTATGTCTGTTATGTGGGTTGTGTTTCCTTATGATCATTCGATCTGCTCCATCATAACATTTATATAAAACGTTTCTTTGCTTCAGACTGAAACAAAATTGCCCGTCCTGGTGATGGAATATTGTTCAAGTGGGTCTCTGCACTCATTCCTTAAAGAACTTGAAAATAGACACGGACTACCGGACACTGAATTTCTCATTCTCCTGAACGATATTAGTAAGTATAGCTGTATATTACACACTAATTACAAATTAAAAACATTCTGATTCTATTCGAGCACTTTCTTACAATCGTTCTTTCGTTTTCGTTTTGTTACAAAGATGTTTGTACAGAACGATGTAGCACATTCAAATTAAGAGCACCCTCCCGCACATGCATGATATAAGCTTGTCCTTTCACTGATAGAAATCAGAACGGTATAAATCAAAATCCAAATTTCATTTTGATCTAAATTAGATGAATCCCCTATTTAGTAAATGAAATGAAATGGTGTTTAGCTCCGACTTTTTTGTGCACGTCAATGTACACACGGGACCTTGTCAGGCACTCCATCCTGCACTACTGACAAGGGGAAACCACGTCGGAAATCCCGATGAACTTTCTCGGCTAATGCAGTGATCGAATACGCGACCTCCAGGCTCGCAAGCCAGCGTCTTAGCCACTTAGCCACCGTGGCTCTCTATTTAGTAAATGACTAAAGGACGGCTCTAATACCTAATAACTCCCAACTGTTCGTGTTGATACCACCACTAATTTCGATACATATCGTGGAAGGGTATAGTAGCGAGGTTATTGTACCAGACATCGTTATTAGATCCAAAATTGTCGCTTCTAACTGGCCTTGGAAATAGAAAAAAAATAGTATCGTGTTTAAAATATATCGTTTTTGATAGCTAGAGAACATTATAAAATGAAATGGTATTACCGGTTTACTTAATGCCCAAGGATATTTGTACACATACTTGCACATTGTGATTTTGCACGTATTTATAAATGGATGTTATTTATATAACATGAATAGAAACAAACATTATGCAATAACATAAAAACACTATTTGTGCTAGTTTACATTAAAAAGATATTTACAACTGCGCCCGCGAGAATAGTTAGGACATATTATATACTCTTCAAAAAAGTAGGGGATATTCAGAAACAATACAGAACTGCGGAAATGCACTGCTGTTTTTATTAGAGGTAACCAGTGTATGTTAATAACAGGTCAATTGCCTACACATGAACATAAACAGTTCATATGGGCAAAGGGATACACTGTCAAAAGTGAAAATGGACGTTTTTGATTTTTATCAATAATGAGTAATTGCTCCACCAATCATCCGACATTCAGCAATTCGTCGTGGCATACTCCTAATCGACCGTATAATCACGATTTCGGGCAATCTGACCCAATCCTCTTGGAGTGCCACGGCCAATTCTTGCAGTGTTGTCGGTTGACGTCGACGAACACGTCTCCCGTTCAAATTAAACATAACACACTAAAGCAAAGATACGCTAAACAGTAAATCTTATGCAAGAACCGATAGGAAACCAAACATGGATAGATAAACCAGCACGCGGCCGTTTTCATCAACCCTTCCTTGAAGTGTCAAATTTGACAATGAAACCCTCCCACACGAATGGCGCTATTGCGTGTCGCATGTGCAGCTCAGTGGGTCTGTTGGAGCGATACGTTCTTCATCTATGAACATACTCTCAAAGCATGTCAAGTGTCCATGACTATTTATCATATCACAACCTGCATGGGTATTTGCATTTCAATATCCCCTACTTTTTTTGAAGTGTTAATAAATAAATACAAACTGTCACATATTGCATAGTAAGCTCGCACGTTGCTAACATGCGTGTCCTACATAATGACACCTGACAGGCAAATGATTTTAATATGGCTAGATCTATTTCTTAAGGCCACCTCCAGATTTCGTCAAGGTCGCTGAGATGTAAATACGATTAGGGAACGTGATTGTTGACGAGATTGTGGGTTAGGTTTAAGAATTTGTGGGGAGAGGATACGTCTCCAATATATAAGCACTGACCTAGGATGATGAAAATTTGGTTCGTGATATTTTCTAGTTTTATTAAATATACATGCAATACATTAGATTAATATACATAGTTAGTTTCGCTGGGGTTTTTTTTGTGTTGGTGGCGCTGATGGTCTTCCTTCGGCGTGGCTTGTGGGATTTTGGTATTTTGCTTTCTGAAGAAAAAAGAATAAATTTGAGGCTCTCAGGGGAGCGAGAGCCTCATTAGTGTGTTTTCTACAAAGGATTGGATTTTCTAAAAATGAGGGTTTTTTTCCACTATCCCGGGGTTAGGGCTATAGGGATTCTTATAACTAGTTGATTATATTTACTAAGGGGTAGGGCTAGGGTTTTGATATATTCTTTGCTTTGAGTTAGGGTGATGACTGGTGTTATTTAGTCTAATTTATAGTGCACTAGGATGTCGTTCAGATTTTTTTTTTAGAATACCGGTATGCAATTATAAGTTTCTGTGTGAAGATTTTCGGGTGATTTTCTTGGAGATCATTGTAGTGTTTTCTGATGATATTGGATGCACTTGCTGCTGTTGCGCTAAATGGAACTACAAATGGGGCTATTACGCTATCCGTATAAATATTCAAACCTAAGGAGGGGGTGGGGGGTCAATTTGTCAATGCAGAATTTTTCTCTTGTTAGCCTAAACGTTTTAATTTCTTCTGTAGTTTCAAAGTCGCCCTTGGTCGCTATTGGCGTGACAATAAGATGAGAAATGTCATGAATTGTTTGGTTGAAGTGAATTGAGGTGGCCTTGAAATATAAATCTAATTCTCTAACACACAATCAATGTTAATTATTGTAAATCGAGAAGTGGTATCACGTGATCTAGAAGGGGTAAAGAAATCGAATTATACAACTTAGTACGGTACACGTGCTTGATCCTTTTTTGTCGAAAAGATAAATATCTGCACAGTCATAAGAATGTTAAGAAATTAACGCATGCTTGACGACTATATTACATATAGATGTCTCTATAATGTGGATACATAACTAAAGTGTTATAAAGGACCACTACCACGTGTTGAAGATCTTGTCACTATCTTCTAATATGTATTAAGTCCTTTACGTAACCTACCATCCCCATATTAATGTTAATAAATGGGGGAAAACGTTTATTTTTTTAAAAAAAAAACTGTTTATATAAGATACAACACAGATATATTATCTTGCGTCAAGGTTAATGTATTAGTTAATATCCTTTATAAGGGATATTGCACGATCATAAATAAATGAAATCAAATGGGGTTTAACGTCCTACTAATAATCTATTCTGGGCTAATGAAGACGGGCATACGCCATGCAGTGTGCTATGAGGGATCGAACACGCGACCTCCATGCTAGCGAGCCAGCCATTTACTCACTTAACCACCGTGGCTCCTCTGGGTTTCTTACAACTACCGGCATATAACATAGATATTCTCAACAACCCAATTAGAAACTAGAACTGCGATGCAGTAATGACGGGTTTCACCGGTGCCACGTTACCCTAAACATATGTCACTTCCGGTACCAATGAAACCATTAAACAGGTTTCCACCTCATCATTGCACACATCAAATAAAATGGACGCCGAATCAACCAAATCCAGCAATATCAATTCATTTTATATATTTGTTACATGTAAGTGTACAGTACTTCCGGTGATAATGAAAATATTCAATTAGTTTTATGAAATCAGAAATGGCATAAGGCATCACATGGTGAAAATTGTATGTAAATCGAATAATAATTGCCACTTTTATAGACCAAAAACCTTAAAAAGTGACTTGTAGAAAACCGTCAATTCCTCTGCAACCATACAAGTTAGAAACCATTTTCTGGAATCTGTATGATCGTATGGGTTTATTCTATTTGTTGATTGGAATCAAATATCATAATTTTAAAAACATAACAACTGAGACTCATTTGAATAAAATATCTGTTTTGAAAGCTAAACATACAGTTTTTGCCAAAATGACGTTACTTCCGGTGATAATGAAAATCTTAAATTACTTGTATGAAATCGTAAATGGCATTAGGTATCACATAGTGAAAATTTCATGAAAATCGAATAATAATTGACACTTTTATGGACAAAAAACCTTGAAAAGTGACCTGTTGAAAATTACATATTTCTCTACAACTGAACAAGTTAGAAACCATTTTGTGATACCTATGTGATCGTATGGGTTCATTCTATTAGTTGATTAGAATCAAATATCAAAATATTAAACAAACAACAAATACGACTCATTTCAATAAATTATTTGTTTCTAAGGCTATAAATACAGTTTTTACCCAAATTTCGTCATTTCCGGTGACATGGAAAATGTTAAATTGAGTTGAACTAGTCACAATTGACATTATGCATCAAATGGTGTCACTTTTATGAAAATCCAATAATAATTGACTCTTTTACAGACACAATAGCGTAAAGAGTGACTCATGCAAAATTGACCATTTCTCGGCAACTGCTCATATTACAAACTAATTTTGAGATAGATTCTCTTCGTATGGATTAATGCTACAAGTTTATGAAAGTTGCGAAGAAATATTTTAAAATATGAAAAGCCTGAATGGGTTGTAAATAGCTCATTTTTTCACCTTTTTTCACCTTTAAATCAAAATGACCCGAAAACGAAATCGAAATTTAAAAAACTGAGCCCGATGTTTTCTGCGCCTTTACAGGGCACACACTTTCAGTCATACCAGATTTGAAAAAAATAATATTTGCTTTCAAAAAGTGGTACCGAACTGTCAAAATTGTAGTTTTTGCTAAATTTACGTCACTTCCGTTGCCGAAAGGTAACTTTATAGGTAACAAAAAAAATGACATTTTGGATTACGAAGCATATGAACTTTGTTTTATACAAATCGAGCAATAAATAATTAATCCAGGACTGAAAAACTGAATTAGCCAATGGGGGTCAAGGAAATTTACGATGACAAAAAATGGTGCCATTTTTGGTCAAATCAGATGACTCTTTAACCCTGGGTAAAATACCACATTAAAATATTCATGAATAAAAAAGTTTTTTGTAAAAATTTAAATTTTCAAAATTTGGCGCCTAATATCTCCGACGATTCGTGGAAAATCAAAAATCTAAAGAACCGTGGCTATGTGCCTTGTCTCTGGCTATGTCAAAATGTATCCAATGTTAAAATCCGACGATTATTGTT